TTTTTCTTTTTAAATCTACGATTTGAAAATTTTTAATAATCTATAATATATCCTAGACAGATAAATCGTCTTCGCTCAGAATCGTTTTTCGTATACAATGATATAATATCATTGGATTCAAATTTAATTCCATCCATTACTGTAATCTACTGTAGGTTCAGCAGAGCGACATACACGACTTACCCGCTTTTTTACCTTTGCATCTTTTTTTGTTGGTGCGTTAAAATATAAATTACTATCAATAATAACTGATTATTGTATAAACATTTTATCTGAGTTTACATTATATGAAATATTTAAAGTAATTATTAAACATGTTAGTTGTTAATAGAAATAGGTATGCTACAATATAAATAATTACCTCGTGCAACAAATGGTTTTTTATGTATTTTAGCTTTCACCCTAATGGTTGAAGGGTGATTACGTATAATTTTATGTACATATTTAATTACTGGTGCTAGCTGATTGATCATCGTTAGTAGATTTATTGACTGCTTTCCATACTCCAAATTTATCATCTGGCAATTAGACTAAAATTGAAGGATTTAAATTTAAAATTTTAATATTTCCGTAGTAAAATAATATATTAATCTATGAAGTTCTAAATTTTAATTGTTAATTATTTTTGACTTATGCCACATAGTTACAATGAATGTTGGTATCAAAATGTGATATGAATAACTAGGCCCGTAAATACGAGGTGAAAAAAGTGAAAAATCTTAACTAAGGGTAGATAGAAGTTTTTTTATAAAAGGTATAATAGTTATAATAAGTAGACTTTTTTTTTTTTTAATGATCAAAAAGAAAGCCCTAAATTTATTTCCATTGTTATAAGGTAACTCTCTCATTTGAGCTAATAGCTTGTTTTTGCAATACATTGAAAACTAATAAGTATTTCTTAGTAACATTATAAAAAACATTAATTAATCATGTTACATCATTATCATTCGTTGATATTCAACATTTGTCAATATTTTCAGGTTGAGCAACTGAAGTATTCGGTACATATACTAGATATTGTTCGTTCTAAAATTTTAAGTCATAATATTTTATAAAACCTAATTTTGTGTATAAATGTATTTAATTTCYAAGTTTGTAAAAAATTAATTTATCTTTTCGATTATGCTGACATATTCGGCATAATTATAATTTATGCACCTTTAAATGTTCTCTTGCTTTTTTGTATAAAAATCGCATCCTCGTCCTATTTCGCCTATTGTACCTAGTGCTATAAATGATTTAGTCTTCATCTTGAAACCCAAACAATTGCAGTTTTCAATAAGCAATAGTAATTATCACGTACACTATATTTTGTGTACAACAATATACTATAGAAATAATGTAACGGTCCGTACAGGCGTTAAATTGTCAAATAAATATTTGTAAGTGTTACGCAGACAATATATTTTTGGGTACCTACTACCTAGTGATGTATTTATAAATATTATGCTGTTTATATTTTCACTTAAGCCAGATAACGTGGTATAATAAAAAAAAATATCAAAGACTAATGAAACTACTCAACCAATTTTAACAAGATTATAATATGCTTAATGTAGAAGCTTTCGTTCGACTAAAAGTATAGGACATTATTAATCCCTCGTTTGGTGGCGCTTAATTGTTTTATTGTTTTAAAATCATTAACTTACCCAACCTATATAAGTAACCTTCAAATTTCTGATGCTTTACTATAGGAGTGTAAATGCAAATATTCGCCATGATTGTATTATAATATGTTCAAATGCCATGAGTGCGCATGAAAGTGTATTTATTTTTAATATTATCTTTGTATCGGTTGACCGTGTGATGAATCTTAGACGGAAAGTTTAACGGTTTAGACTGTGATTGTGAAATTCGACTAGTTCGTTGGTGGTTCTTATTTGAATAAGAATGAATTGCTCACAGTCATAACAATTCCTAATAATAGGCACCATCGTCATTTTTCGACTGTTAAATATTATTTTAAACCATACAATATCTAAACCAAATGTTTTGTTCGTATTTATAGAGTGCTCAAAACGGCGGTCAAAACGGTACTTCYGGTGCTAACGGTAACAATAATTGTGGATGTCCAAAGGGTTTCCGGAAGTCAGGCTACCGTGGCGAATGTGTGGACATCAATGAGTGCCTCGACTCACCATGCGACTCCAACCTTAACTGCATCAACACGCCCGGTGGCTACCAGTGCGTATGCGCCAACGGACAGATCTATGACCCTCAGCACGG